CGGGAGGCGTCAAGGGCTTCTCAGCCGTTCCGCGCGCCGCTTCCCTGGATGGCGCAGTCGGTAGCGCTCTTGTACTTCAGCCAGACGGGCCCCCGAGTTCGACCGTTTCTGTTTTTTCATTTTTCACCACTAAAAGGCACCCCAACAAACCCCTAACTCCCTAAATTCCAGGAGCCCAACAATACGACGAATGCGTGGCGTTCATCAAAACCAAATTCGAATCGCTCTCCAATAACCCAAAGAAAACGTTCTACGTACACGAGACATGCGCCACGGACACGACACAAGTACAAAAAATTCTCGACTCGGTGATTTCGATGATCATTCAAAGTAATCTACACAAATCTGGACTTTATTAAGAATCTGAACCTTTTTTGTATTTTTTTTGGTCCAAGTTATGGATTTCCTCGTGTTACGGTTCCCTTTCTGAACAAAACTTTTGAATTTTATCGATTCTCGACGGTTTTTTTTGCTATTTATTTTTGCATGATCATCTATTTTTTGAAAATTTCTCTGATTTCCAAATATTTTTTTTAAACTCCGCTCCTCTTTTCTCCAAAAATACTCTCTACCAATAATTGTGTCAATCCTCATCCTGATCTCTAGTTCTCTGTTGTCTCCTCTTTTTCTCGCGTACTTATGATTCTCAAAATGTATTGTAAAATCCAAAAAGAATAAATAAATCATGATTTCCACTCAAGAAATGATTTTGGCACATCCTAAATAGGACAAATCAATGGTGTTAATGCCTAGAAGTGACTTGAATTTTTGGTTGGATGATTCATCGAACATCCATCTGACAGAGGTGGAATTACAGTGAAGGTTGTACTTGGAGGCGATATCGAGTATGTCATTTCCGTTGAGGATCTGGAAGAAGCCCAGGGGTAGTGGTGGAGGAGAATGGGGGACTAGAAATGGTGGGTTTGGAAACCTAGGCCACCGGGCTAGAACCCCCAAACAGGTATGAGCAACGATCGAGGCCTGGAGGAGACTAGATGCTCAAGGACTAGGCCGCGACGCGAACACAACGCGGCCGACGACATTGGATACAGTTCCGAGATGTTTGAGTGCTCCGTGAGCCTTGAAGTGACTAACTTTGACCCTACCTAACCCAACCCCCGTTGAAAACTCACATATTGATCATTGAAGAACATCAGTGCCTTCATACCACTTGGGCAGAACATCGAAACATGTTGGCATCCAATAGTATAATCGTACTTGGGCACGCCGAACTTAAACTTGGTCTTGGGGAAGTTGAACGCAAATTGCATGTCGAAAATCGGCTGAGTCATAATTGGAGGTGGCCGAGAGCAGGTGCAGTCTGGAAATTTGATTATAGGGGGAGATGAATGGAGGAAATAGGTGTTTATGGTGAGGAAAGGTGTCTCAATTGAGCCTAGAGTGATCCTCAAGCGTGGTAGGGACAAGCTCAGCGCAGACCTGGCTTGACTTGACTTGGCTTGGCTGATCTAGGCGTGGCTAGTCTCATCTAGGCGTAGCCAGACTGATCTAGGCATGGCTAGGCCGATTTAGGCTTGACTAAGCTGATCTAGACGTAGCTGGACAGATCTAACCATGGCTAGGCTGATCTCGCCGTGGCTATGCTGGTCTGGGCGTAGCTAAGCTGACCAAGGTATGGTTAGGCAGATCTAGGCGTCACTAGGCTGTTCTAGGGGTGCCTATCTAAACGCGGGTCAGGCTGGCCTAGGGCTTGTTAGGCTCTTCTAGGCTTAGCTAGGCTGATTTAGACGTCGCTAGGCTGATCTAGGCCTGACTCAGCTGATCTGGGCATGGCTCGGTGGACCTAGACGCTACTATGCTGATCTAGGCGTAGTTAGGCTGATCTAAGCGCGACTAGGCTGATCTAGGCGTAGTTAGGCTGATCTAAGCGCGACTAGGCTGATCTAGGCGTAGTTAGGCTGATCTAAGCGCGACTAGGCTGATCTAGGCGTGGCTAGGCTGATTTAGGCGTTTTTTTCCTCCAGCTGGCCTCACTGCCTAC